GGTATCAGAGGTTAAACTGCTAAAGGTATAGATCAGTTAACGAAGGATATTGCCGTTTTCTGTTGATTGTTGCTGCGAGCGTTTCATGGCCTCATCAGCATCATTTCGTTGCAATTGCAAAAGTAGAACCAACACACACACACACGCACACACTTCAACTGAAACTCTTTGGCAAGTAGGGCAAGAGCGGCATCACTGAAATGCAAATGCGAGCATGTAAAATTGGAAAACATCCTTGTTCTTTGTGAATGGCCCAAAATAATGTTATTGCTGTTCTACATAAATGGTAATGGCAGTATCGAGGAGAACGGGCAACGATACCAAGCATGTAAAGCAATTTGCCATACACGTATTGTTACTGAAATTAGTTCATATCTATGAATAGGCTTTGCAAATTTTTGATATATTTTATGGACTCGAGTTGGAGTTTCAAATATTCAAATGAGTATTAGTATTGTTTTTGCCCCCTCGCCTCCCCTCAGGTCATACTTGGGCAGTTTTTCTAGTTTTGTTAACAACACTGCCAACAAATGTTTATTCACCAAACAATGTCTGCCTCGGGCCGGTCCATTGAAATGTGAATATATTTTTAATTGATTAGAATATTCAGGAATTGCGGTTGGGTAAATAAATAGATCAAGTTTATATCAGTGAAGAAGCATGGAGGTTGTACGTTAGTGAACGTTAATTGTTCCACGCATAAAAATCGAACTGGAATTATTTCATAGTAAATTTACTTCATAAGTTATTTAACCTTTGGATTTATGTATATACATTTTGACAATGAGATGTTGTCGAAGGTATAATTTTGAAAAAAGTCGTAAATATGAGATTGCAGATACCTTGATAAATCTTCCATTATGATGTCCTTCGATATGCAAAAAGATTTTGAAAAACAACTCATGTCAATTCCCTTTACATATTTTTGTGCTATTGCATATTTGAGCTTGAGTTTACAAATCTGACGTGTCTCATAGAAATTCCATACAAATGCCTGTAGACAATGTTATCCATCAAAACTGAAAAATCCCTGAAGTGTCCATAAAAATGCTCTTAAATTAAAATAAAAATTTGTATTTAAATTATAAACAAGTTTTTGAATCCCCAGACCAACATAAATGAAGGACCTTTATGGATGAATGTAAAGGTTATTCCTGTGAGAGTTTTGTCTTGCCTGGCAAACTTCCTCACAGCTATGAAGAAAGAGAAACATATCATTTTGATTTTATTACAGAAATTGTATTAAAAGTCTATTTTATGAGGTTGTTAATAAAACAGATTTTATGTTAATATATGCAAAGGTGAAGTAGTATGATATAGATGAATGTGAGCACATACTAGCTCTACTGGAAATTGTATATCCATGACTGGGTGATCCTTTAAATGTGGTTGTCCTTTGGGGGCTTGTGTGCATAATTATTAATATGGAAATGAAAATTTCGTAGTTAAATAAGGCAACTATCATCAGCATAAATCTAAGTTAGGTTGTAACGAATATTAGAATAATAGTTATTTTGTGAGTTTGAAGCAGCGGCGGGTAGTTCAAATTCTGCATATTCTATACAGGTATGGTATGGCCCTTATATAACGTAATTTCCACATTTTAGGGATTTCAGATTAGGTGATTGGGCTATAAATCAAGTTTTCACAAGTGTAAAAAAATTTAGATTTAAACGTAACGTAATATTTACAAGCATAAATTGCCTATCCTACAAAGTCATTTGCCGAATTAGTTTAAGGAACAAAAATTTCAAAGAAAAACAGTTAAATAAGTTAAAGTTGTTTTAATCCAATTATAGCTCCCCTGTTTTAACTTCTTCATTGAACGAATAAGGTACCTTCATTGGAGCTGTTACTCTCCTATTGTGGAATTAGAAAGATATTCAAGCTTTGGATCGTTACACCCCATGTTTCTGTTCCTACTCTAATCCTATTCTCATACATACCTACATATATTTATATTAATATTTTACATCATATTGTTATTTTAATGTGTTGGCAATAGTGTGTTTTATAGTTGTTGGTGTTAGAATACAAGAGTGTGTGAGTGTGATTTCTGTTTGGCTGTGTGACTATGGCTTGAATGTAGTGTTTTATGATGTTGTTTAACACGTATTAATTACAAATGCAAATAAAAGGGTTCTAATGTTCTTCAACAACCACAGCCACATCCCCAGCCACAACTACAGACACAACGCAAATAAACAAACGAGAGCTGCTAACTTTGACACAGCACACATTTCAAAGGTGGCTGGCTCAGTTAGGTGCGTGCAAATTAACGTGAAATTCCATTAGTTTGGGTGTCGTTGCCGTTGAAACAATGCCATAAAGAAGCGAACGTGTAAATGTATGCAAATTAGCTGAGTGTTATAAAGTGTCACATGATTAGTGGCAGTGGGAATACATTTATGACTCATAAATATCATAGAGCACATGAAAGTGGTTTTGCACAAAACGCAAGACTTCCGGTGTGTACAGCTACTTCTCCTTTTCTCTCGCTCTCGACTCGATTCCATTCCACAGCCTTTTTCTAGATCCGTCATTTATTTTGCATTGAAAACTTATACCTACTTGACATTTCAACGAGAATAAGAATTGATCAATTTCCTTGGGCAAATAATAAAATTACGACACGGACATGTCCGCTCAAGCGGAAAGCAGCTCGCAAGAAAAAACGCTCACAATTACAATCCAATGGCAAGCTCTAACTGAATGAATTCATTTCAATTTCGCTGTAGCATGTTTTAATTATTCACTTCAAAGTTTGACTTTCATGTCGAAGTAAGAAAATTAATGCGAAAAGAAGCGAAAGAAAAAAAGTAACACTGCCTAAAGTGGTAATGGATATTGACACATTTTCTTTCGTTTGTTTGCTTGCTTGCTTGCTTGGCAGAGGCTTTGCTTTGCTTGGCCGCTACAACATTTCACGAAGCGGAGAAGAAAGCAAACTTCATTATTATTACTGTACAAGTTGCACAGGACGCGGAGAATTGTGTCAATATTAATTTGCACAAGGAACCGTTAAAAAGTTAAAATTCCACAATCGGCTATCCGTTGGAAAACTTTTCCGGCTGTCACTTAATACTTACTGCCACCACAAAGCCAAATTGCCGGTGGCAACAACTGAAAAATACGGGGAAGAAGAAGATGCACAAACACTGCTGGGAACTGTCGTTACTTGACAATGGAAAGGATATTTGTCTAAAGAACGGAATTGATTACAGGGATCCGGTGATTGGTCGGTCACTGTAATCAAATGGAAATTAATGATTAGCTTCTAATTAAGACGAGCGTTTTTTTATGTTTCTTTTCAACAAAACTGAGGTGTGGGGTAAATTTCAGGTGGTAGGCTGGATCTGTCAGAGAATTTGTTGAGGCTTCATTTCTTTACAAGTAGAAGTAGGGGTTTCCGAACGTAGTCGATTGAAATTTGGAATGTCGATTTCAAGGGATAGTGAGATTTTATATCTATTTCGCTCTTAGAACAAACTCTTACTCCATTTCGAGCAATTCGACTCCCACTCTAATTTTTGCAAACAGTAGTGATTTGGGAGAGCTCCCTCACAAAACAAAGGAGTGAAGAGTGGACTCCACATAATACTCCCACTCTTCGAGCATACCCACTTGCCTTTATTGCACTCGGTCGGAGTTTTTTAGTTTCGTAGCTTTCAGATATTGTTAAATACGAAATAAAAGATAATGACTTTTCATATTAAATTTTTAGTTTCTGCAAATTAGTTTTTTTATTTGTCACTAAAATTTCAACCAAAAACTAAAGGTGAATTAGAATAATGACTCATATTGTCCCTGCATAGAAATTTCCATACAAATGTTAACAAATTCCAAAAACCAATATTTTTTTGCCCTGCTCCTTCTAACAACACACCGACTTGTCTTGGCTTTTCAAAATGTATCTGTGTATTGTAAAGGTCGATATTTGCTTGTATTGATATAATGTATTCTGTTAATACAAAATCTCAATTACTCACTCTCTTCGATTGTGGTTTTTGTCAATTAACTTTAGGCATAAGTAATTTATGTACTTGTTTTACACATTAGAAGGCAGAAACACACACACACATACACGCACACACACACCTAGACAGGCATCCATGGCAAAAGGGATCCAATAACAGGAAATGCAAATAGACCTCCTTATTATGTATGGAAAACCACAAGACCATCTGCCAGAGTACAGCTAGGCTCAGAAAGGATACTAATACACAATTAAAGTAATCATTGAAAGGACCCTGTAGGGGCAACAGAATAGCCCTTTAAAGGGGAACTTGCTAAGAATACCGACTCAGGAAAAATTACTGTAATTATTTGAGTATTTTTCATAGCCAGAGTTTAAAAATTAGAAAAGTGGCAAAGTCATCATCACAACACTATTTCTTTACTTCAAGCGCCCTTAGAGGTGCATATGCGTACATCCGTATACAACAGTCAGGATGTGTTCTGTAATGGCAACAAATCTTTGCTGCTGCTTTTGCACCAATCTTACCACATATTCGTCTCAGCACTTGCATACTTGTGGCCAAGGCACGTGGTCGGTTGTGGAGCAGTAAATTTTATTTCCACCATTCCACACCCCGCCATTGGATGGTAGAGGAAAAACCAAATTAATTTTTGTTGTGGCTTTCAGAACAGCAATATAACAAAAATACCTTCCATTCGACTTGTTTCTGTTTTGTCTTCTCATTTTCCAGCCGAGAACTCGAAGCGAGCGGCAGACATGCAGATGTCTTGAAGAGGCTAAAAGCCGCATAATGTTACACCTGTGTTTAGTCTGAGGATGTGTGCGTTGTGGTTTCCTGGCATATGTAGAATGCGGAAGTCAAGAGTACTACTACAACTGATGTTATTTAAATAATTACCAACAACAACAACGACAAAAACAACGACGCAACCAGCACAGAACAACGGTGAAGTTGCCGCATCAACACTTTGCATATTAAATTTAAAGTTGTTGGCAATTCCAGTGGAGTTGTGTTTTATTGTCTAACATAATAGGCTGGGAAATTGCAGTAAATTGAGTCGATGTCTGGAAATTCTATACTCGAGCAATAGTCAAGGAGGGCGAGCCAAATGACAGTCTCCTATGCAGCTGAAGTGGCCCAGTGTACTGGATTTGGGTGTTTCCCAAAACTTCTACTCAGGTAAGCTCTGTGGATGGAGGTTCTCCAAATACAGTTGTTATTTCTTTCTTTAGGTGGCGTGCCAGCATCTATAAACTTATATGGCTGGACCTATGCATATATCTAAGCATTTACTATGCCCTCAATTTCACCTATCGCTTCTACATGAATGAATCACAAAAGCAGTAAGTGCAATGACTCTATCACGATAGAGTTCTCAATATATTGTGTATCGACTTCTTTCCAGATTTTTTGAAACAATTGTCGTTTATTGCTACAGCAGCATATCGTTGATTCCCATTATGTTTGTGTTGGGATTCTATGTCTCTGTCGTTGTAAAACGTTGGTGGGAACAATATATGACCCTGCCCTGGCCAGACAGTACTGCCGTCTATGTCTCATCGCTGATTAGGGGCCAGGATGATAATGGTCGTAAGATGCGCCGCACTATAATGCGTTATGTGTGCCTGAGTCTCACCATGGTACTGACGAGAATATCACCGCGTGTCAAGAAACGCTTTCCAACCCTGGACCATTTGGTCGATGCCGGTCTTTTGGTGGAGAACGAGAAACAAATCTTAAAATCTATGAATGAAAAATTTGCCAAACATCCAAAGCACTGGATGCCCATTGTCTGGGCCTCGGCAATTGTGACAAGGGCACGTAAAGAGGGAAGAATCCGTGACGATTCGTCGCTGAAAACTTTGATAGATGCTTTGAATAGCTTTCGTGAGAAGTGTATGGTTTTGACATTCTACGATACCATGAGCATTCCTTTGGTTTACACCCAGGTGGTGACCTTGGCGGTATATACCTTCTTTTTGGCTTCAGTTTTTGGGCGCCAATGGACGGGACAAACAGATCCCGATGGTATTATGAACATTGTAGATTATTTCTTTCCCATATTTACGGTATTGGAATTCATGTTCTTCATGGGTTGGCTGAAGGTTGCCGAGTCACTTATATGTCCTTTTGGCGAGGACGATGATGATTTTGAGGTAAAAATCTGCAGAAATAAAATTAGTTTTAATGTTTTAATGCACTGGACAATTTTTCAGTTGAATTGGTTAATTGACCGTAATTTGCAAGTTTCCTATCTCATTGTTGACGAAATGCATAATGAACATCCGGAGCTTTTGAAGGATCAGTATTGGCAAAGTTTTTACCAAAAGCAAACTGGGGATCCGCCACTACATTCTACGGCAAAATTGGGTGAAACTGAATCAAGGAATACATTGCTTAGTGGCAACATTTTGGTAGCTAGTTTTCTTACATTTTGCCGTAGGTGAAGTGGATTTCAAATGTTCTTTATTGTAGGATTCTCTTACTAATTTCTTTTTGAAGCGTGGCAGCAAAACAAATTCACAATATGATGAAAATGTGAAGGAATTGGAATCTACCATAAAGCAATACTTTGATGATGACAAGTTTAAAATATTCCATGATTCAGAAGAAAGAAATACAAATTTAAACTTAAAAACCAGTAGCAGTGAATGTAGAGCCTCATCGCCAAGCATAAATGACAGTCCTGATGAATTTGAACAGCTCAAGTCCAAGAGAGCTGAGGAAAGACTTCAAAGGAAGCATCTAATTCTTACAATACCAAGTGTCAAAATATCTGACACCGATCGAAAGTCTCAGATCTCTGAGACAATTAATGCCTCATCTTCGCACCAATCCTTTCAACAAAGCCTTGACAATAGCTCTGAAAACACTGGAGAAACAAAAAAGAATATTTAAAAACTACTTTGTAACATGTAACAAAGAAAATTAAAAACAATATTTTTGACAAATAAATATATTATTTTTTGCAATTTGCATTTGAGTTGTCATGACTGTAACCTATACCGCAGAAGTTGCAACATGCAAGAAATTCGGTTGCTTTGTAAAATTGCTGGCAAGGTAGGGAACAAGAGAGATGAGTGGTTGGATGGTGAAATGAAAGAAATTAATCTAAGCCCTTTTAACTGCAGATGGAGAGGAAGCATTTACAAATTGGTCTGGATGGATTTGCTACTATTTCTCGCTTTATACTACGGAATTAATTTGATATATATTTATTTACTGGATAAAGATTCCCAGAAGTAAGTGGAGATTGGGAAGCAGTGATACCTATTTATGGATTATTGATTTCCTTTCGAACAGGACCTTCGAAAGTGTGGTGTACTATTGTGCCAGTTACAGCAGCCTGATACCGCTCTCATTTGTTTTGGGTTTCTATGTCAATTTGGTGATGACCCGATGGTGGGAGCAGTACATAACCATCCCTTGGCCGGACTCGGTGGCAGTCTATGTCAGTGCCCATGTTCATGACCAGGACGAGCGCGGTCGTGTCATGCGTCGCACAGTCATGCGTTACGTCTGTCTATGTCTGACAATAGTCTTCACCATGATCTCGCCCTGTGTCAAGAAACGATTTCCGAAAATGAAACATTTGGTTGAGGCCGGCCTCCTGCTGGAGAATGAGAAGAAAATCATTGAGTCAATGGATGTGGCCTTTCCAAAGTATCCCAAACATTGGATGCCAATTATATGGGCGGCCAGTATAATTACAAGGGCACGCAACGAGGGTCTGATACGGGATGATTTTGCGGTTAAGACCATTATAGATGAACTGAATAGCTTCCGTGGTCGCTGTGGCACCCTTATGTACTATGACTTTATCAACATTCCCTTGGTCTATACGCAAGTTGTGACCATTGCCGTGTACTCGTTTTTCGTGTGCAGTCTTTTGGCCCATCAATGGACTGAGTTCAAGAAAAACACCTACGAGGGCTTGGACTTCTACATGCCACTCTTTATTACATTGCAGTTTTTCTTCTACATGGGCTGGCTAAAGGTGGCTGAAACATTGATTAATCCCTTTGGAGAAGACGATGATGATTTTGAGGTGATTTCCAAAGCATCTTAAATAATGGTGAAATTTAAATCCCTGCATTCTAGGTTAACTGGATGATTGATCGCAATTTGCAAGTGTCCTATTTGATCGTTGATGAAATGCACCATGAACATCCGGAGTTGGTGAAGGACCAGTACTGGGATGATGTCTATCCCAATGAGTTACCCTATGAATCAGAGGCCAAAAGAGAACAACATCCCGAGCACTCAACAGCCAAATATGATGTGGACGAATCCTTGGAACAGTCTTTTAATAAAATATACCCGGTAGGTTTAAATTTAATCGGATTTATCAGAGAAATTTAATATGAATATACCTTAGAGTGGGGAAACGGGATCTGCCATCGATTCTCTGGGTAGTATTGAAGGTGAGATTTTGAATAGAGTGCTAGAAAAGCGTTCTTCGGAGCCTCTCTTACAAGAAAATTCCTCCTCGGATGTGGAAAGTGTACAAAAAATCGTGTCTTATAGATCATCAGAGTTTTCGGAAAATATTTTATGGAAGAAGGACGAAAATGATGGTAAATCACAAATAACTTTAGATACTATTTCCGAAGATAAACGATTAGAACATGAGAAAAGCGAAATAATGGGTGAAGAAGAATCTTGCCAGGAGGAAGGAGAAGAAGTCCAGGATACATACGAAAGTGGTAAGTTAAGTAAAGTTATAATTTAAATATAAATTTTTTGACGTTAGGTCCCCTTTAAAGAGACTGAAGTTGATCCCTTTGAGCAGTTACGCCTGGAACGTCAATGGCAACGCATCCAGAGAATGCATGATTTTCTTCAACGTTATTTTGGTCCACATTTCAAAATTGAAATGCCACAGGTTATTCCAGATAATGGAACCTTAACGAAAAGTAGGAAGGCATGTAGGAAGAGGACGAAGGAAGAATCCAACTCTGTGGAAAATAATACTTCAATGGAATCAAATTTGAGAGAAATTCTTGATAACCTTCCTATTAAAGGAATGCAGATACCCAGTGATGTATCAATGCCATTCCTTGTTGATGATGGAACTTCGCCAATGAGTTCGGCAAAAAGTTACTCCACAGCTGGTATTTCTGAATAGAATTCTTTGGAGACATACCTCCTTCTTATTGAATAGCGCAGCATTTTAATAATTTACCACACAATTTAATGTAATTCCTTGTATCTAGAATGAATTATTTAATTTTTATATTTATTGCTTTTAATAAACTAAAATTGTGTTCCACATATTTCATGCCCCTACTTTTGACCAGGAAAATGAGCAATCCTCAGCGTACACTTAACACTGTCAAAGTGCAGTTCCTTCCTCATGTGGTCATGGGCAGGAGTAGTATAACCACTTCCACAAGAGAAATAAATAACGGTTAATATCTTTGGGTCTTCCTTGGGTCTGGTGTTGCCAAAAAACATTATTTTAGCTCTCCACGACCCCATAGCAGTGGCGTTCACATCCCCATCCATATAAACTGTTATGTTTTATAAGTATTGCAGATGATTCGTTGATAGGTTCCAATGGAACCTAACCACACCAACCAAATGTGTGCACATTCATATATCATTGTTGCTGAGATTGTTGTTGTTGTTGTTGCTGTTGTTCTTGGGGAGAGTCTGTCTAAGGATATGAAAATATGAAATTGCTTTACACTCGAAAGCTCATTAAGTCGATTTATATGGCAAGCCATAAATTGTTGCAGCTAAATGTTCATCGTTTACAGTTATGCGAACGGCAACGACATTTACAGTTAACAATATAGGCACTGGAGGCAACACGAGATATATTTTGCCAGAGCCACATAAGGTCACTCATATGAAAAATTCCTATCAAATTTCCTTAGAAGTCAACCAAATAAATTTCATCACATTTTCCCATCCCGCAATCCTCATCATCAAAGGAAAGGGAAGAAAAAACAAAACTGAATTTCCACAAAAAACCTTGTTCTTGGAACTGCAAAACCATTTGTCAATTCTTCAAATCCTACTGAAAGTCAAATGATTTCCACATGTATTCAACAATGAGGGGAGTTTGTTTTTTTTTCTCGGTTTTTTTTTTTTTTTTTTGAATTGGATGATAAATTTGATAAGAAATATGAAATATTGAAATGTAGAAAATGCTCATATGCGAATTGTAAGTGTCATAAAGATTTGCAAGAGTTATTAAGCATAGACTGAGGAAAAATGAATGAAAATTGGAAATGATGTGATAATTTATTATGTTGAAAAAATGAAAAAAAAGTTGATTTAAATAGATATCAGAGAAGAAAAAATGTGTTGATTAAAAAAAATATAATCACAGAAATGGAAAAATGAATTTCATATACTAACATATTGTACTCAAAAGGGTCTAGATTGATAACTTGGCGCCCAACTTGAAAATTAATTTTTGAATATGCCTTTCTTATAATAGCAAAATATTATCCAATTGTTATCACCACTATTCGCTGTTTTTCTGGAGGCATGTGTATTCCTGTCACAAGTACAACTTTAGTTTTTCGGTGGAAAATCAATGATCTTCATTACTAAAAACCCTTTCTGAATTCAAATATATTCTTATGAGGTTGTCGTGCATCAATCTAAGCGAATATCAGTCCGGAAGGACAATACTGTCCAAGAAGAGAGAGGCGAACATTATTCCTATGCATATTCATGCCATAACGACATACTTTTTTGATAATCGACATATTTGGTCTGTTCCGGAGCTGCACGATTTTCCCTTTATGATATCCGAGAAAAGATTCTTGCAGGCTCTGGAACATTCTCATTGTCTTTTTTCAAAATTGACAATATATACCCTCCGGGCTGTGTTTCTGCAGTTTTACGAAACTGTTCTACCTCCTCATTGTATCATAATAATAATGTATACTTATTTTAATTAATACTCATTTTTAAACGTCTCCACTAAACTTCAAAAATATTTAAAATAATCGTTTATATTTTACATATTTAGTAAAATAAAAATTAGGTACTTATTTTTATGGTGCGTACCGTATAGAATTTTCATGCGATTTACATGCATTAAAGTCACATACTAACACAATGAAGCTCATTGGTAATTATACTCTCATACCCACACACATGTACAACACAAATGTCTTCCGCTGAGATGCGTATTATTATTGTTATTTAACGCGTCGCAGAGTTTTCTTATTGTTTTTATGGAAATTACCATGCCAGCCAAGCGATACCACCCATGCCGTTGGCCCAAACACACCATGTTTGACTCCAGACATTCTGTCAAAGTCACGCGAGATATTGACATTGGGTTGTGCCGTTGAAGCAAGAAAAAACAACTCAAGGATATATTGGAATTGCATAGCAAAATATTTCCAGCCTAATATATTACATTCACATCCATATGTATACATGTGAGTATATGTTCCGGCATTCCATCTACATACATATAAATATAAAATAATAATGACTTAACTCTCAGGAGAAATCTATCATGCAAAGCCAATGACAACAACACACCGCTGCCATCATAAAAACAGGGGACAAAGAAGCCAAACAAAAGCAAACTTAAAATCAAAATAATGGCATAAAAATGAATTATCCGCTTTTTCTGGTAGATTTTTTTTGGGGGGGAATTCCATTAGCATGTGTGAGTGTGTCGACCCGGAAATGTTTTCCCAAATTCCTTTGCCATTATGTCAATTATGTGTGAGACACGAACTGAATGATGTATGCCCTCGATCCCTTGGCCCAAGGCACAGTTGGCCGCCACCACACTGTCATATTTACTCACATATATCCATCCATTACTATGCCCTCGCCGCCGCCTTTGTGGGAACGACACATAATAAATGGCAAAAACTGAAAACTAATTAAAAAATAAATTCGCAAAAAAACGACTGCAAGTCTGGACCACATTTACAAGACCACTGATGTTAATTTTTTTATAAAATATTTCTGGAAATTGTTGCGGTTTTATTCAATAAAAATTTTACTGTATTGCTTGAAATTAGTAACATTTAATTGCGAGCATACACGCACAAAGAAACTCGCACACACTCACACATACACCGGCAGTTACGCATATTTGCGTACAACAAATAAATTGATTGCCAATTAAACAAAAAATTGCCGTTAGTGAGATTCTCTCTAAATAAAATTCAAATTCCAATAAATTCGTTTTTGTAAAACTACGACGATAACGAATTTTCTTTGATTGCATGTAATTTAGTTGCGATGTAACCAACCAATTGTTTTTAATGAAACATTTGACCAATTTGGGTTTTTTGTTGTTTCGTGAAATGTCTACACTGGTGATAATTGGAATAGAGGCAGGACATTTTTCTGAAGTTTTTGGTGTGATTATAAATTTTGTGGAGGAACCGACAGATAAAAAAGATATTTTAGATCCCGAGAAGCCAGGGTGATTTTTCGCAAGATTTGACTGAAATCTTTGAATTCCCAAAAATTGCGGCAGAAATTCATTCTCAATGAACCTTTTCGCAGAGAAAGTTATAGCCATATTGAAGATATGCTTGGAATAGAAGTACTCAAAATATTATGGTCCCCCAAGGATTTTTACCTATAATAAATGTTGTCGAAAAGAGTAAACTTTTCTGCTACGAATTCAAAATTGACATTCTTTAAAATACCGAGAATCAGAATGTACCCTATTTGCATAAATAATATAAATTAATTTTGACTTGTATGACTCTTTAAGAGGTATATAGCGAAATAATGAACTATTTTCGAAAATTATTTTTTTTTTCAATTTAAGCATCTGTAATTGGTAAAAATTTTTCGATCTACAAACTTTATAGAAAATAAGACACTTCATTTAAATTTTAAGTGAGTAATTGTCAATCAAAATATTGACTTCTTGTGTGTGTGGAGTAGACGGATAAGCGCCATTTCACATTTTTTGTCGATTTAACGATGTCCGTCTGTCTGTCTGTCCGTCTGTCCGTCTGTTTGTTGAAATCACGAGACAGCCCACATTATTTGACGTAGAGCGCCAAAATTTAGCAGAGCTATTTGCATTGTGTCTAGGATGGTTGGTATTGAAAATGAGATATATCGGTCCACGTTGTGGTATAGCCCCCATATAAAGGTACCTCCCGATATTCGTTATTTTAGTTTTTTTTGCCACATTTTTTCACGGATTTGTCTAAAAATTGGTATTTGTGGGTCATAATGGGTTCCAGCTCCGGTGGCGAAACATTGCATGCATGGGTCCATGATTTGATATAGCCCCCATATAACGGTACATCCCGATATTCGGTATTTTTATGGTTTTTGCCACATTTTTTCACTGATTTGTCTAAAAATTGGTATTTGTGGGTCATAATGGGTCCTAGTAATTATAGGTCCACGTTTTGGTATAGCCCCCATATAACGGTACCTCCCGATATTCGGTAATTTAATGGTTTTTGCCACATTTCTTCTAATGTTTCTTTTACCCTAAGGTGGAGGGTATTAAAAGTTTGGCCCCGCCGAACTTAATGTTTTTTACTTGTTTGTAAGATAAATCATTTTCTTTAAAACCTTGTAGGGGACGAACCGACATTCCATCATCATCAAACTCAATCTAAGGTTGGTGAAAATATTAACCAAAATTGAGACGAAATTGGAAACACCCTCTTGAACTCACAGACAGACCGGCAGATAGCGGTAGATAGACTCCAAAATTTCGGAAACGAATATCGTCCACACATTTTGTCACTATCAAATGGTATATATCCCTTGCAGCCCGATGGGGTATTAAAATTTCCCAAAACTTTGCTTTGAGTTATTCAGTCTTGAGGTTTGCCATATTATTTTAGCTCTCAGGGTATGGCCAATTACAATTGCAGTCATTACGCAGTACATACTCAACCGCATCATGGAAGTGCAAAATACCAATGCTCAGATTACAGCATCACTTGCAAATGGACTGACCGGTCTACTGGCCGGCCGACACACAGGCGACTGACGGACACGCCAACTATGCACATACACACATACATACATGCATGCATACAAAGTCAATACGGAAATGTTAAAACGAAGTTATGTATTTGATTGGATTGATTATATTTTTGCCTGAATAAATTTAAACATAATTGCCAATTAACACTTTTTCGACGTAATGCTTTGATGATTGATGACAAACGCCCGCACTCACACACACACACACACACATACAGACATGGCTATACAATGGCATTTGGAGGAATAAGTGTATCACATTGCCGGTTGCCATTGCCGCAAGTGTAGCAGAGTTATTGCCAATTTAAACATG